ATGCCCTCCTCCTGCAGATTCTGGCCTGCAGTGTCTGAGGCATCCCCGATCAAGGACATTCTAGACGGAAAAGACCCCAGAATGGCTGTCATACTGTTTTCTAAAACAAACGCCCATCATCACCTCCCACCCCTATCACTCACGCAGACATGTTGTGAAGTTCATGAACACCCTCTCTCCACCCACTTCTCCATTTCCACATACTTAATTCGCCAGCGTGTGCTCTACCCTCTATTTTCAGTTCCTCTTCTCACTCTTCCTTACTCCGTAACTCACTGCAGTCTGGTTTCTGTGCCTCTCACTCCTCAGGCCAGTGTCACCAGAGGCCTCCCAATTGCCAAATTCAGTGCATCTCTCCCAGTCCCTACCCAACACCATTTTGGGGAAGCATTTTACACTCTCCATAACTCCCTCCTTGAAACTCGCTTCTCCTTTGGTTTCCACACCAGCCCCTCCCAGTGCTGCTGCTTCCCCTCGGTTCCCTGCACAGGCCTTTCCTTTTGTGCTTGTCCCTTAACTTGTGATGTTCCCTGGGGTTCTGCCTTCAACTCTGTCCCTGAGTGATCTAGTCTTCCCCTCCGATGGCCTCAGTTACCGTCTGTATGCTGTGGATACCCAATCATACTCTGCATCTGAGCACAGACATTTCCCACAGCCTACTGGACATCTCTAGTGGGTGCACCCTGTTATAACATGATCTTGTAACTGTGAACTTACCTGTTTCTAATCAGCACCATATGTATCTTCTATTTTCCTGTGTCTCACATATATAGTGAGTTAGTGGAAGGAACTCCATGAACAATTAAAGAATGAATGAAGGAGCACCTATCTATGAGGAACCTGTCCACTGGCTGCTCAGTATGCTGAAATAGATAGGTATTGATAGTCTGAGATTTAAAAAAACAAAAACCTGACATAAGCCAAACAAACCATTTAGGAATGTCAAAATGAGGAATTACTGAGAAAATCTGCAGTGACAGGGCAAAAGACAGAGGTGGTGGTAGAGACGAGCCAAGGCAGCCTACGACTATTTTTAAACTAAAATTATGAAGAATCTGGAACTCGGATTCAGACAGAAGAAAACAGAACAGTCCTAGAGCTGCAGTGATGCCAGGAGAAAGAGAACGAGGCAAAAAGAGCAGCCCACTCCATCAAGACTGTGTCTGGAAGGGCCTCTGCCCCTTCCTTACAGGATGCTAACGCTGAGGCCACATGGCATTTTCTCGGGAGTCTTCCCGACCAGCAGTGCTGGCAGCCAGAGAGCAACGGTCTCTGAGTAAAGAACCGGATGCTGCTTGCCAGCACCAAATGCCAGCACCCCAAACCCCAACCCTCAATTTTAATAATTCAGAGGTTGTGTGCTTGCTTCAGATAAAAGTTCTCGTGACCAATTTCCAATTATCTTCACTTTTCCCCCCCACCCCCTCCAAAACGCCCTTCCAGCCCCCAAGGGAATGGAGGAAGAAGAACAATATACAAAGCACCTGCAAGATGGGGGAGGTCACTGCTCTTTTTCTGAGTGTCCAAGGCCACGGAGGTAGCAGTGTGAACCTCTGGTGACTGCGCGGAGGAATACACCAGCTGCGGTGTGAGTGTGCGCGTGGGTTGCAGTGGGTGGTAGTGGGTATGAAACAGGGGGAGCGGTGTCTGAGTGCTCTCTTGGCCCACCCGCTTTGTTTCGGTAACTGTTTTATACTGATTTTTATAGAATTGATAACGTGTTTTAGAGCAGTGCCTGGAGGCTTATCTCAACTTTGCTTGGACTCCTGCCTCTCCCGCTGTCAGGAAGGTTGACATGTCCTGGCCTTGGTGGCTGTACATTCTACAAGACAGTGTACCTTGTGTCTACAAGGTCTGTACAAGGTACACGTGTTCTCATACAACAGCTTAAATAAAATAAAAATAATAATAATAATAAGAATAAAAAGAGGAGCCCTATCTGGTTTGGCTCAGTGGATAGAGTGTTGGCCTGCGGACTGAAGGGTCCTGGGTTCGATTTCAGCCAAGGGCACATGCCCGGGTTGCGGGCTTGATCCCCAGGGTGGGCGTGCAGGAGGCAGCCAATCAATGTTTCTCTTTCATCATTGATGTTTCTATCTCTCTCTCCCTCTCCCTTCCTCTCTGAAATCAATAAAAAAATATTTTTTTGAAGAGGAAATGGTGACACGTGTGTTGTTTACTTTGTTGTATATTTTGCATAAAGCGAAAGAAGGGAATACATGGAACCTAATCCTGGAGACCCTGAGTTCAGTTCCCCCCACATTTCCTCTGATCCCCAGGCTGGTTGCCCCTGTTGGGTTCCCATGTACTCTGTGCTTCCCTCACACTGTATTGCTGTTTACTCCACACAGACAGAATTCCCAGGCATGAAAACCATGCTGTGCTCCCAACAGTCGGCCATGTAGGGTCTGGTAGACAAGAGACCTTGAGTAATGTTTGATGAATGAATGTCTGAATGATATAGTGCTAAACACCACTTAACAAGTCTGGGGACCCTGAAACTCTGTAATGACCCTTGGGCAGTTATGCGGCTCCCAAGTCATAATTCTTAATCTAGTACTCCTTAGCTCTGACCTGCTCCCTGCCTGGAATATTATCCCCAGAGACCTGTGGAGCTCCTGAGCTGCTCCTGCACGCCTCCTTTCCTGGTCAGAGGCCTGGCTCTCCCTGACTCAAAGTCTGGAGATCCTGCCTACATAGAGGTTGATCTCACTCTTTCCCCAATATTGAGTTCCATCCATATTTTCCACCCCATGCCCTGTCAGAATGATTAGACTCTCCCATATCAATTACTTCTGGGATGTCAGCCTTCTAGTTCTTTTTTTTTTTTTTTTAAAGTTTTTATTGATTTCAGAGAGAGGAAGGAAGAGGAGAGAGGGATAGAAACATCAATGATGAGAGAGAATCATTAATCGGCTGCCTCCTGCATGGCTCCTACTGGGGATTGAGCCCATAACCTGGGCATGTGCCCTGACCAGGAATCGAACTGTGACCTCCTGGTTCATGGGTTGACGCTGAACCACTCACTGGGCCACACCAGCCGGTCTAAACACATACTTTCTAACACATGTACCAATTTTCTATTTTCTTGGTTTAAGAAGGCTTGGCATAGTAGTTAAGATATTTAACTACTTAAACTTTCCTTAAACTTCTTATTGGTGTGAACATACATACAGAAAACTATAGGTGTCAGAGTGTACAACTAAAATCATTTTCACAAACTCAACATACCCTGAGACCAGCACCCAGATCTAGAACCAGAATGTTATCCTTTTCTCTGAAGCCTTTCAGTTTACTCTCCCAAGGGTAACCACTAATCTGGCCTCTAGAAATCATGCAATCTTTTAATAGTGGCGATTTAGGACCAAGTTGGGCTAGGTACTCTATACTGTATTACCTGTTTCTGTTGATGTGGGGACAGTATAGAGACTCTGGTCAGTTAACTTGACTTATAGCCCACTCCTGTGAAGCAATGACAAGGAATGAGTTTCAGTCCCAGCATTAATTACCACATTAGGCTGTGACCTAAAACATCCACATCTCCTTTTTAAGCCTTGGCAACCTAGTTTATGAAATATGGGCAAACACAATCCATTTGCAGAGTTGCTATGAGGATTAAGTGAAATCTCACCCTCAAAGCACCTGGTGCAGTGTGCATGGCTATAGCAATGTATAGCCAACGGTTATCGATTTTTATTGTGTGCAGTCATGATGTGAAGGTTTTATGTATATTACCTTGTTTATAACTCTGGCCAAATAGACTTATTTTCTCATCTGCTCTTTCTCTCTGTCTTCCTCATTTTAGCAGCCAAAGGTATCATCATTTACCTAAAAATTTAGGTTCCAAATCTAGGCATTTTCCTTAATTCCTATCATTCCTACATCCCACTCAACTAATTCATCAGCAGGTTTCTAAAAAGAAAACCCAAATCACTAAATTCTCTCAGTTTTTACCACCATTTTCCTATTTTAAGCTACTACCATACCTCAGTTAAGTATCTTCACAAGAATGTAAGCTACACGTGACCAGGCTTCCTGTATTATTGATCACAGCTGTATGCCCAGCACCCCAGTACCTAAAACAGTGCCTGGCTCTTAGGCTTTTGGTGTGTCTTGAATGCAACAAACTTCTGAAGTGGGTACTATTATTATTTCCATCGTACAGACAGGGAAATAGGCGTGCAGTGGTTAAATAGCTTAGGTAAGGTCACAACAAATATCAAAGTCAGTTTCAATTCCAGGGACTAATTCTGGAGCCTGCCTGATTATCCACTGTGCGGCCCTATGGAACTACAGTGGCTTATTTTGAAGTCAATTATTAAGGGACATTTGGCTGACGTTCAGAGAAATTTTAGTTGGAACTCCTCAACCTGAAGACTCTTCCTTAGCACAAAGTTCCTGTGCCCCTTCACACAGCCTCGCAGGCGTCTCCCAAGTCTCATCTCTCCTCACTGGTCTCTTCTGCCGACATTTCAATCATAATGATCTCATTTCTCTTCCCAACAAATGCTCCCGCCTCTAGGAACCACTGCCCCTCCCACCCCCTCTGGAAAAACCTTCCCTAATCTCTCAATGTTTAGGGATTATAACAAGCAGCGCTTTATCCCAGCTGGCATCACTCTACTAAAATTACTTGTTTATTTCTTTATTGTTCACCGCTCTGAAACCCAGTGCCTAAGAAGTGCCTGGAATAGAATAGGTAACTAGACAAATACTTGTTTAATAAAGATATGAAAGGTCAAGGATTCTTTTGCCAATTTGTAGGTAGAGAGGCTGTGGCTCCTAGAGGTCTGGTGTTTTGCCCTGGGTCAGTCACGAAGCGGCGGAGGTGAGACTGGAAATCAGGGCTCCACACACCAACCCTGCGGACCACGCCCGTTTTCTGGGCTCCTCTCCCCCGCCCGCTCCCACGGGCCCCGCCTACTTCGCCTGCACCGCCCCCTAGACTAGTTTGACCCTCGGCCGGCCACCGTAGCGCGTCGCCGCGGTTGCCGTGGGAAACGACCCGGGATCCGAGTGGGAGGAAAGACGTTTCCCGCCGGCGGGAGCTGCGGTTGTGGCGGCTTGCGGAGCTCAGACCATGGCGGACCAGCTTTACCTGGAAAATATAGACGAGTTCGTCACGGACCAGAACAAGATCGTGAGCAGCTAGGCCTGGGGGATGCGGGCGTGCGCCTGGGGTCCTGGGCCCAGCGAGGGTGGCGGGGTCCCCGGCCCCTGTGCGTGTGGCCTCGTGGGGGCGGGACGGGGGAGACGGGTCCCCCTGCCTGGTGGTGCCCCGAGGCGAGCGAGAGCCTGCGGGAGAGGTGCGGTGGCGCGCCCGCGAGTCCTCGCCCCTCGGGGGTCGTGCTGCGCCCCGGGCACCGCCGAGGGGCCGCGGGGGAGGGGCATTGGCGGGTACCATCTCTAAGGCGCCCCCACACCTGTCTGAGAAGGGGTGGGCGCGTGAAGCCCCACGTCTACAGCTGAGGAAGCTGTAACCGGGCCTGGGTGGTAAGCTGTGTAACCTTCGGACAGTCGGCTTCCTCTTACTGGAAATTCGGTGTTGATACCGGCGTGACCTGTCTCCCAGGGAGGCGTAGAGAGCCAGGGAGACAGTGTATGTGAATGCCCTGCAGATCATCACCTGTGGAGGAGACACGTCATTGCACTTATTTGCAGTGGCCCACCCGGAGGTCGGTAGGAAAGGCAGCTGAAGCAGACAGAGGGGCCCCAGAACTCCTCTCTTTGTGGTTCGGAAAGGATGGGCAGCTTCCCAATCCAGGTCTGTCTCTGGCTAATGCAGCGGTTCTCAACCTGTGGGTCGCTACCCCTTTGGGGGTCGAACGACCCTTTCACAGGGGTCGCCTAAGACCATCGGAAAACACATATATAATTACGTATTGTTTTTGTGATTAATCACTATGCTTTAATTATGTTCAGTTTGTAACAATGAAAATACATCCTGCATATCAGATATTTACATTGCGATTCATAACAGTAGCCAAATTACAGTTATGAAGTAGCAACGAAAATAATTTTATGGCTGGGGGGGGGTTACCACAACATGAGGAACTGTATTAAAGGGTCGCGGCTTTAGGAAGGTTGAGAACCACTGGGCTAATGCTTTCTCATGCCTTACACTGCCTTTGCCTAACCTGCGTAACACTTGTCATTGGAAACTCACTATTTAGAACTGGGAGACCTTGAGAGCAGAGTAACAGGAGGGATCAAGGAAGGGTGGAGGGAAGAGCTCGTCCTGAGGCCAGGAGTTCCCCGTCGAACCTCTGACACAGTATTCATCCGCCTCCTTCACTCCCTGACCCCTGCACCACCTGTGCCCTTTAATGTTTGTAAGGCTGCAGCTGTCCTTAGGAGTTTTTCCGAGCCATGCACTTCAAAGTAATCTAGCTTCTGGGTGAGTTTTAGTAGAGTTTTCGGCGGTGGTCCTCAGAAAGGACAGAAGATGGAAAAGGCCTTCATAAAGCAAGGAGCGCGAGGAAAATGAGAGCTTTTTCCTTGATGTATAGCCTTTCTTTTTATATCCTTTGCGTTAATTGGTCTGTGAAACAAACTTCCTAGTATTGGTAAGATAAACATCTCAGTCCTTCCTGCCCAGATGGATGGTTCTGGGCCAAACTGGGGTGTCATTAATTATAATTGATAAGGCATAATCATCTAAGACTAGGAATCTTTAAGAGCCTTTAGCGCTCTGGAGTTACTTAAATGTTTAAAAAATTTCTTCTTTTTGCAGGTGACATACAAATGGCTGAGCTATACACTAGGAGTTCATGTTAACCAGGCCAAACAGTAAGTCCAGTTAACTACTAATTTTCATCACGTTGGAGTTTTTTGTTTGTTTGTTGCTTTGCTTTGTTTATAGCCTCATAGATAGCCTCTAGGTCCGTGGTCGGCAAACTGCGGCTCGAGAGCCACATGCGGCTCTTTGGCCCCTTGAGTGTGGCTCTTCCTAAGCCTTAGGAGTACCCTAATTAAGTTAATAACAATGTACCTACCTATATAGTTTAAGTTTAAAAAATTTGGCTCTCAAAAGAAATTTCAATCGTAGTACTGTTGATATTTGGCTCTGTTGACTAATGAGTTTGCCGACCACTGACCTAGAGTCTAGGTCAAAACTATTTTTTTCCCTGGAAAATGGGAAAGAATACTGTTTTTACTACTTTTGTCTATTATTTAGGAGATAGGTATACTTGTATACAAATGTGTAGTAATAAATTTACTGAATTTATTTGTAGTCTTGCTCTCTGGTTAATGTCACTTCATTATTTTAGATTTATTAAATGGGCTAGCTAATTCTGTTTACATCTCAGATTTATATGTCTGTTATCTTACATCTTCATTACAATTTCACACATGCTTCCTAGATGTTATTGAAATACCTCCAGAATGAGGTCAACAGGTGTTTGACACAAGCTGTATAACAGTTTAAGACGAGGGAGAACCTTGTAAGGGAAACTAGAACAGAAATGTTTAGAGTGGCACAGAGCATTGCCCTTCTTGAATTTTGCTGTATCACCTTTCCTTGCTGAAAAGGAAGAAAGCAAGCTTTTGAATTAACTTCAAAATTTTTTGACCTGCAAATGTGCAGATGTTGTCTATGACCCACTTCATTCCACACCACTCTCTACATCTCATACTCTAGCCATATTTGCCTTTCTGCTCAAAAATGCCAAGCCCATTCTCACTCTAGGACAGTGATGGCGAACCTTTTGAGCTTGGCGTGTCAGCATTTTGAAAAACCCTAACTTAACTCTGGTGCCGTGTCACATATAGAAATTTTTTGATATTTGTAACCATAGTAAAACAAAGATTTATATTTTTGATATTTTATATATTTAAATGGCATTTAACAAAGAAAAATCAACCAAAAAAATGAGTTCGCGTGTCACCTATGACACGCGTGTCATAGGTTCACCATCCTTGCCCTAGGACATGGACACCGTTCCCTCTGTCTGGAATGTTCTTCTCCCAGTTGCCATCATCCTTCAGGTTTCAGGTCACATTTCACATATTACTTCTTGGAACAGCTCTCCCCTGATGCTGTATTTCAGGTATCGCCCCCCCCCCGCCTCAACTCTGTCATATATATTTATTTTGTATTTTTTTAATTAAATCTTTATTGTTCAGATTATTACAGTTGTTTCTTTTTCCCCTCCATAGCTCCCCTCCACCCGGCCCCCCCCCCTGCCCTCACCCCCCTTCATCCATAGGTGCACGATTTTTGTCCAGTCTCTTCCCGCATCCCCCACACCCCTTTCCCCCCCAAGAATAGTCAGTCCACTTCCTTTCTATGCCCCTGATTCTATTATAATCACCAGTTTATTCTGTTCATCAGATTATTTATTCACTTGATTTTTAGATTCACTTGTTGATAGATGTGTATTTGTTGTTCATAATTTGTATCTTTACCTTTTTCTTCTTCTTCCTCTTCTTAGAGAATACCTTTCAGCATTTCATATAATACTGGTTTGGTGGTGATGAACTCCTTTAGCTTTTCCTTATCTGTGAAGCTCTTTATCTGACATTCAATTCTGAAGGATAGCTTTGCTGGATAAAGTAATCTTGGTTGTAGGTTCTTGGTATTCATCACTTTGAATATTTCTTGCCACTCCCTTCTGGCCTGCAAAGTTTCTGTTGAGAAATCAGCTGACAGTCATATGGGTATTCCTTTGTAGGTAACTGACTGTCTTTCTCTTGCTGCTTTTAGGATTCTCTCTTTGTCTTTTGCTCTTGGCATTTTAATGATGATGTGTCTTGGTGTGGTCCTCTTTGGATTCCTTTTGTTTGGGGTTCTCTGCGCTTCCTGGACTTGTAAGTCTATTTCTTTCACCAGGTAGGGGAAGTTTTCTGTCATTATTTCTTCAAATAGATTTTCAATATCTTGGTCTCTCTCTTCTTCTGGCACCCCCATAATTCGGATGTTGGTATGCTTGAAGCTGTCCCAGAGGCTCTTACACTATCTTCGTATTTTTGGATTCTTTTTTCATTTTGCTTTTCCGGTTGGGTGTTTTTTGCTTCTTCGTATTTCAAATCTTTGACTTGCTTCTTACGATCCTCTAGTCTGCTGTTGGGAGTCTGTATAATATTCTTTCTTTCAGTCAGTGTATGCTTAATTTCTAGTTGGTCCTTTTTCATAACCTTGAGGGTCTCACTAGATTTCTTGAGGGTCTCACTACATATATCGGCGGTCTCACCAGTCTTTTCGAGGACCTTACTAAATTTATCGGCGGTTTCTAGAAAGTTCTTGAAAAATCTTAAAAGTGTGGTTTTGAACTCTGTATCTAGTCGTTTGCTTTCCTCCATTTCTGTCATTTGTGACCTGTTTCTTTGTCTCCGCATTTTTTATGCTTTCCTGTGTTGGTAGAGTGGCTTTGTGTGCTGGGTGTCCTATAGGGCCCAGTGGCTCAGCCTCCCCACTTACCTGAGGAGGACACTCTTGGTGCACCCCTTTGTGGGCTTTGTGCACAGTCTTGTTGTAGTTAAGCCTTGATTGTTGTAGTTATCACTGGGAGGAATTGACCTCCAGGCCAATTGGCTATGAGAATCAGCTGTGTCTATGGTGGGAGAACTTCTGTGCTGAAGACACCCTTATGAGGCAAGACTTGCTTCAGTGGAGCTTTGGTGCTCACTGAGTCTGCCCCCTGAGCGTGTCCCTTATGGATCTGAGGAGTTGTAATCTGGATGGTCCCACTCTGACCACTGGGTACACTGGCTCTTGGATCTAAGGAGGTGCTAATTTAGCCTCTGCCTGAGGCTACCCAGCAGGAGCTACAAGGAGATCTGCAAATTCCCCTTCCTTGTTTGGGGTTTGGAGGTGCCCAAATGAGGCCCAGCTGTGAAGCAATGCAAGCTGCTGTGGGGCCTTGGGCCTTCTCTTGGAAGTTCTGGGTCTGTCTGGCCCAGCTGCAGTTTGTTAGGTAATTTTCAGATTTCAAAGGGCCAGGGCATTCATATGCAAAAGCCTCTGGTGCAGCCTGGGTGGGGTGGGGACTCAGGGAATCAACAGGGCGGAGCAAGCAGCTATGGCTGATTCACAGCCATGCCCTAAGGGGCCCCACGTCTCAGTGTCCTGGTAATCGCTGCAAGCACCTTTGAGAGAAAGCCGCCCGAGAGTTCCGAGTTCTGCCCACTGCCAGACAGTCCAGTTTCTCCCTGTATGAGTCTGGGTCCTCAGAGACTCACCTGGAACTGGAGTTCAGAGCAGTCAGGGGCTTGTGACTCCCTCCCGATTCAAAAAGACAGCTGCGTCCTCAGTTGCCAGCCCTTGCCGCGCGCGCCTCCGTACCTCTGCACTTCCACACCTTCTCTGAGTCTCAGTGTGCTTTTCTCTTTCCTTCTAGTTGTAGAATTTCCACTCAGCCAGCTTTCCTGTGGTTCTGGATGATGTCCGTTTTGTCTTTCAGTTGTATTTTTGAATTTGTTGTGGGAGCCAGCAATTTCCGGTGTTTACCTATGCCGCCATCTTGGTTTTTCCCTATTTTGTATTTTTTTTAAAAAGCACACACAAACGTTAATGAGAATTCACATGCTATACAATTCACCCACTGAAAATGTATAATTTAGTGGCTTTTAGTAGATCCAAAGAGTTGTCCAATTAATTTAAAACATTTTCATCAGCTCCAAAAGGAATCCTGTATCCATTTAGCATTCACTCACCATTTCCCTGCAATTTTGCCTGCCTCCTCTTCCCCCAGCCTTAGGCAACTACTGATATATATTTCTGTCTGTAGATTTGCTTATTTGCATTTCATATAAATGAAATCATGTAGTATATAAACTTTATGCTTGGTTTCTTTCACATAGCATAATGTTTTCAAGGTTTGACCATGATGTAGCATATCAGGACAGTAAGTCCTCACTTAACATCATCTGAAATGGCTTCTAATGAAACCAGTTTCACCATAGGCTAAATGATATAATAAACAAGAGTTAAGTTCCTACAGTATGTCATCAGTATGATAATTAAATGACCTTAGTTCAAGACCTGCTGTACTTCATTCCTTTTTATGGCTGAATTATTCTATTATATGGTGTTACTAGTTTCTTAGGGCTGCTATAACAAAAGTACTACAAACTTGGTGGTTTAAAATCACAGAATTATGTTGTCCCACAGTCCTGGAGGCTAGAATTCCAAAATTAAGATGTCAGCAGGGCCACACGCCCTCTGAAACCTGTAGAGAAGATCCTTCCTTGTCTCTTTCTAGCTTTTGGTCGCCTGCCAGCAATCTTTAGCATTCTCGGCTGCATGACCCCATCTCTGCCTTTATTGTCACATGGCATTTGTTGTCCCTGTGTGTTTGTATATTCACATGGCCAGTTTATAAGGATACCACCCTCCTCTAGTATGACCTCATCTTAACTGATTATATGTGCGAAGATCCCTTTTCCAAGTAAGGTCACATTTTGAGGTACTGGTGAATAGGAGGTCAACATATCTTTTTTGGGGAACACAATTCAACCCAGAACATATGGATGAACCATATTTTGTTTATCCATTCATCAGATGATGTGCATTTAGGCTGTTTCCACATTTGGGTGTTATAAATAATGCTACCATAAACATTTGAGTACAAGTTTTTGTGGAGACATGCATTCTCAGTTCTCTTGGGTATATACCTAGGATTGGAATTCCTGGATCAGATGACAAATCTATATTTAACATTTTGAAGAACTGACTAATTGTTTTCAAAGTGGTTATGCTATTTAATAATCCCACCAGCAATGTTTGAGGGTTCCAGTTTCTCCATATTCTTTTCAACTCTTGATTATCTGTCTTTTTTTAATTTTAG